CAGCCATCTCGTGTGTTTGTGCCACGGCGGACCGCGGCGGGAGCGCCGATGACAAAGCTCGCGCGGCGTGACGTGATATGTGGGTAATAATCTGTATGAACTCTGCCAGGCGACCCTCGAAACCACCGTTCGGGGCTTTCAAGTAAGGCGGGGTACGGTGCAAGGGTACGACTGGTAGGTACGACTAGTACGGTGCAACTGTACAACTGGCACGGTACAAGATTACAACGGCGCAAGGGTACGGCTGGCACGGCGCAAGCGACATAGGGGCCGTGTAGGTGTCTACAGATATATAATATATATGTGGCAAGATGTAGAGCGACATCGAAATGTGTGTGTCTTCCCGAACACCACGACCGAGAATAGCCGACACGAGGCCGGCGTCGCACGCAGGCCCTGGGTCGGTGTGATTGTCTGTGTGAACTGAGAAGGCAGCTTTGGCAGGTTTTGGATCGCGTCTGGGCTTCGGCCAGGACGTGGCAGCAGATGCCCTTTCCGGACTCTAGCCGCTACTGCTTTGGTGCCAGCAAGAAGTTGGTCTTCTTGTAGGTTTGAATTTGCCCGGGTCTTTTCGCGCCAAACCATCCTTCGTTGCAGTACTCGCAGGCGCTGATCTCCAGCGAAGACAAAAACTTGTCCACTTCGCGCGCGCGCGGTGGAAGCCGCGGCCGCGGGACTGTCGGCGAGCATGAACTTCCTAACGAACCACAACCATTTGGCTGTGTTTCCTGGGGTCGCTGGTCAAATGAACGTGGAAAAGGCTATGGCTGTGAAGCCGCAGCAGTGCCATGGATGGCAGTCAAAAGCGTGAAATGCCCATGAAAGGCCGTAAAAAAACGTGCGGGGGCCGTGAAAAGCGATTTTCATGGTCCTGAGTGATATTGCAGCTTGGGCTCAGGCTTATGACGGAGACTCAGCGTCGTGGCAGGAAACTTGACCGTACAACCGGATACTGTCAAGGCGTTTCAGGCGCTTAAGCAACGTGGTTTCCTGGTGTGACTCCCTTCTTTGCGAAACCCGCAAACGCGCAGTGGAACCAACGTGTCATGATGTTACTTTCAATGACACAATGCCGACGCCGCCGCAACTCATGCCTTACATAAAATTCGTGCAGGCGAGAACAGATCATACTCAGCCCTGTTCGTACATTTCGCTTGCCATGTGAAAAGCCACAATATCCGATTTGGACAGTGCCCCAAACGTGGCGGACTTTTATCTTGATCCGGATCGGTTGCTATTTCAGACGCGAAGCAACTTGGCCGTCTTTTCCACGGAGAACGCCTTCCTTGTTTGGTCTAAGGCAGCGGAACAGGATACGGGCACAAGCTACATGAGTATTTGTTTGGCCGCTGTTACGTGGGAACCCTGGCTTCGGAGGGGCGACATGACGATTTCCAGGCGGAAGTGCCCTGTGTTTCAGTGCGCGCGAGGCAGCGAACCAAGCAGACAAGGCGATTGGCTACGCTTGGATGTTGCGCGGACATGGAACGCATAAGGGGCTGGCCGCAGGAGGATCATTGATGGAGAGCAATGGACCGAGCCTAGGGACGGATTTTCGGGACACGATTGCGCAACAGTCTTTGGACACCCGCGCCGCGAGACGAGATGCCACTGCGGTGCCGCGGGCTGCGTGGAAGGCTAAGCAGAAAGCTCGACAGAGGGGCGGGGACATTGATATTCATCCTCACTTACAGCGGGAGCATTTCAAGAGATGAAAGGACAACAAATATCCCGTCAATTGGCTACATCGCGAACAACGGATACAGGCACGCACGCTGAGGTCCCCGAGAGGGGTAGTCCGACTGCAGATGTGCGAAGCATGCCAATTCCCACGAGGGGGGGCTCCTTGCAAATTTGGGATGCTGTACGTTTGCGAATCCATCAACCAAGGTGCGCGAGCGCTGGCGAAAACTTAGCTAAATATAAGAGTCATGAAACATAGGGTTTCTGGAGGGTTTCAGCGTACAGGTACGGCGCAGGTGGGTCCAGGGCACGACTGGTACGGCACAACAGTACGACTGGTGCGGTTGCAAGGGTGCGACTGGTACGGTGCAAGGGTACCATCGGTACGGTACAACGGGTGCAAGGGTACGACCGGTACGGTGCAACGGTACGACTGGCACGGTTCAACATTACGACTGGTACGGTTCAAAGGTACGACTGGTACGGTGTAAGGGGCACAACTGGCACGGCACCATGCTACGACTGGTACGGTGCAAGGATACGACTGGCGCAGCGCAACGGAACCCTGGTCGAGTTGCTTCGTGTTAGCTGTCTGCTGCGTTTTGCATTGTGTATGTGTTTGCGTTTAAGCCTGGTGGCGGGGCTGATATATCGCTTGCCCCAAAACGGCCGCGCATCCTGTGGATATGAAATGCGCCAGCTGTATCTACGCGCAACCCAGAGTTTCAGAATTAGAGAGGAGTCTTGGGCCAATGTTTCTGCAGTCCAGGGCAGAATAGCAACATCACGATTGAAACACAAAAGGCTTTCACAAAGGCATCATTTTACTGGCACCGTTGGTGCGGCAAATCAGGTCTTCCATCAACGGCAGCCCAAGGTGAAGCGTAGCCTTTTTTTGCCAAATGTTCAGCATACAGCCAGCCAGTGTCCCTTTACCATGTCGGTGCGTCGCTGTTAACGCGGACACCCCCATTGAAGCTTAACCTCTTGATTTGCCCAAAGCTTGAAAAGCACACAGCACATGAATACAGGAAGGGTGGCAGCTCCACTCAAACCCTGTCATTTTGCCCAACATAGCCGGCGTCGCCAGTATCATTGATGTAGGGTGGTGATTTAGAAGAGCGACACGTTGAACCGTAAGTGCGGTTGTTCTGAAGCTGGCCGGGCACAGCCAGCGCCCCGATTCCCAGCATTACTTGGCCCCGCACACGCACCGCATGGGCCGTTCATGTAGAAAGCAAATGAACATTCAAGCAACAGCAACCCATCAAAACGTAATCCCTTGTTTGGCCGTGACTGCGAGCGCACAGGGGTCATGCTTCATGTAGAATTGATTGCTAATAGTTCAACATCACCACCCTGCTTGGATGGTGCACCGAGACATAGTGATGCTGGGGATGCTGACTGTGCTCCTAGATGACTCCTCACTCACACACCTCACTCACCTCACTCACCCCTTTCACTCCTCCCTCACATCACTCACCTCACTCACCTCGCTCACTCTCAGGAAGGGCGCTCTATGATATTCTATGGTTTGAAGCCTGCGTCTGTGCGCCCCTGATTCGGTGAGGTTTTTGACACGCGCAAAGTCTGTGAAAATTAAACTTCTTAAGCGTTGCTAACAGTAGTAGCAGTAGTAGCAGCAGAAGAACTAAAGACGTGCTGGTGGTGGCGGTGGTAGTGGTGGTTGTGGTGCTAGTAATAGTAGTAGTAGTAGAAGAAGAAGAAGAAGAAATCAAGGGAAGTTTACTGAAAGGTAGCTTGCGCAGATAAACAGAGCTTCAGAAGACTAGGTTGCGCGCGAAAAGATAGTTCTGGCAGATAGCTTTAAAAGATCAGATAGCGCGCGCCAGAAGGAAAGTGTGTGCGAGAAAACATGCGTGGGCGTGCGGCAGGAGAATCGCGAACACTGTCTGGCGCGGGCTCGGCGCGGGCGTGGCGCGGGCTCGGGCCAGGCCCACTGTACTGGCAACGCGAAGGTTCATAAGGTTTGAACTACGTGACAAGCGCAGCACTATCGCACGGCCAGGTGCAGAGTTCGTGGCAGGCGAAGCACTTTGGCAAGGTGGTCGAGTACAGATTTCGTGGCACAGGTAAAGGAAGAAAGACGAAAGAGAAAGAGACATAAAAGAACGAAAAAAGAAAGACGAGCGAAAGAGAAAGAGAGAGAGAGAGAGAGAGAGCGGGAGACGGAGAGAGGAAGAGAAAAGAAAGAGGAAGAAAAAGGATAAGAAAACAATGGAGGAAAAAAAGAAAGAGAAAGATGAAGAGAAAGAGAAACGATATAAAGAGAAAGATAAGGGAAGAAAGAAAGAAAAGAAGGAGAAAGAGAGGGAGAAGAGAGAAACGAAAAGAGAAATGGAAGGAGAAAGCAAACAAAAGAGACATATTTTCATAAATATAAAGAGAAAGTGCAAGAAAAGAGGAAAGACCGAGAAAGACAATAAAAAGAAAGAGATGGGGTCATTCTGCTCAGGACCATGAAAATCGTTTTTCAGGGCCATTGCCTTTTTTCACGGCCAGTGCTTGCGCTTCACGTTTTTTCACTGTTCCGGTCCGTCGTTCACGGCCACTTGCACGCTTTTTCATTGCCATTCATGGGCTGCTGCGGTTTCCATGGGCTTCCCGGCGAGCGGTGGCTGTCAAGTGAAATCCATATGCCACTATGCATTGTCAGGGAATGATCCAAGTTGAGTCCTGCCATAAACATGTCATGAGTATCACTGATTGGAATCTTCCCAATCCCCTTTTTCGTTGCGGAAAACCAGCCTAGCGCACCCACAGTCTAGCCGCGCCCGATTTGCCCTCATTTCAGGACTGACGCGCTGCCACCGCTCAAAGTCACATGTTGCAGGGCCAAGGGCAGCGCTCGATGAAGAACAAAGTCCAGACGCAAGCAGCAGGGCCCTTTTTCCTTCGCTGGCTGCAGTCCTCGGACGCGACAGGGGGACGACGAAGAGAAGAAAGACAAGTAAGAGCCCCGCATGATGAGAGAGAGAAAACGCTTGTGCTAACAGGCTAGGCTAAGCAGTCATGACTGTCCGTGTGCCACATCTTCTGCGCGCAGACCCTTGCAAGACATCATGGCGATGGCAAGAAGCCGAGTCACCGGTATGTGGACCCTGCTTTTGGACATCCAGGTTGCCAGACTCTTGGACCAATGGCCATTAATCAACCGATTCTGTGGAGCCGGCACGGCCGGAGTCGAGGACCGGTCACAATGACCAGTAGTCCATCACAGGGGACTCACTAAATTTCGAGTTTAAAAGACAGAGAAAACCTGCGTTGAACGCTTTCGCGCTGGTCTCTGTCACGAGGCCGCAGACTTTGAGGACTTGGACGGGCCTAGCCCGGAGAACTTCAATTTCTGAGGCCGGCGCGGGGGGCCGCAGCAAAGCAGTTCACCCAGGCTTGCTACAAACCAAGTCCCATTTTGGAACGCAGACCGATATGATTTTGATCCAAGACTCGTACCTCCCTGATTGATGACACCGCCTTTTCGAAACACACCCCGAAATTCACAAGGCTGATGTGGCATTCATCCAGTTGGCTTGCCGAACTTCGTCGCAATGGCCACTTGTCTTCCAGTCAGCCCAAGGGTTTTGCCCTTCCCTGTCAATGGCAAGAAGCATAGTCACTGCAGATAGTTCTTGGTGGCAACAACGGGCCTTGCGCCAATTTAGAAAGACAACCCTTGTTTTGAGCCCCCCGGATCGTTTCACCTTTTGTCCAGCCACCCTGACAGCTGGCAAGATGGCTGTCGTATTAGCAAGGCATGCGCTTCGCTTTTGGGTTGGACACATTTACTTCCGGAACAGCCTCATGCGTATCGTGGTGGCTTCATCATCCTGTCATTCCCGCCGCACGCTTGGTTTCCGGGGCCCGCAGCCAGGTCCAAAGGCGTCGAACTGTTGGAAATCTGAGGGCCTGGCACCCTCAGCGCTAGAACTTTCCCCGCACGAGCGAAGCGCTCCCGAGGAAAGCTTTGAAATCGCTACGCGCAGATTTCCTTTGAGCAGACAGGGTTTATATTGCATTCATTGTCGGGTTTTCGCTTGGGGTTACCAACGGTCTTTGCGACTGCCTCAATGGCTGTGTCTAAAGCTTTCCGCCAGGACCTGGTTTTTCACCTTGGGTTTTGGAACCCGTCAAGGGCCTGAAATCCGCTTTTCAGGAAACAAGCCACCTACAAGAACAAAAGCGGAAAAAGGTTTTGGTGCTTTGCTTTTGGTGCTTGGGCGTCTCATGTCTGAGGCGGTTCTGCATCAGCTTCTGACTTGCCTAGGTTTAATTGAGCAGGGGTTGCTGGGCTCCTTATAGCTCAGATCTTGCAGCGCTACTGCGCGCGCGGTTTGGAGTAGAACCTCGCGCTTCTTGAAAGACGGACGCTCAGGACTCCTTCTCCGCAGCTCTGCGTCTTTTACTTGACAGGGTGGGGTAAGAGCTGGCTCGGGGGAATTGTGGTTTTTCAGAAAGGAGCTTTGGCGGCAGGTTGCGGGTTGGCCCCGTTTAGCTTGTTCAGTCGCGGGGACGTGCTGGATTGCCCGCAGCTATTCGTGCGCAAAGTCACAGAAGAGGACAGTTACTTTCAAAATGTATATAGAAAAAAGATAGAAGAACGAGATGATGATGATGATGACATTCATGATGACGATAATGAAGGCGATAACTATGATGATAACTATCAAGAAAATGATAAGGATGATGACTCTTATAATAACTATCATCGTAGCATCCTCTGCATTACCAAGGGTGCCTAACGCCACAATTGAAATGTATAAAGAGGAAAGATAGAAGAAAGAGATGATGATGATGATGATGACAATCATGATGACAATCATGAATATGAATGATGATTATGATGAAGATGATAAGGATGATGACTCTTATGATATTTATTATCGTCGTATTTTCTGCATTATTAAAGTTGTGGATGATTGTTATAATAATTATTATCGTAATATTCTCTGCATTATTAAGGGTTCTTAATGCTACGATTGAAATATGAAGTTATTATTTTATTATTTGTTTATTTAAGTTGGGAATTTGGTTAAAAGTGTGTGTTTGTTATTAGAATTTTATATGATTTTATTGAGGGATTTGTTTAAGTTGGAGCTCCCGGTTAAAGAATGAGATGTTATGATAATTGTTATCGTAATATTCTTTGTATTATCGAGGGTGTTTAGCGCTTTAATTGAAATATATATGAAGGCGATGATTATAATGATAATTATTATGAAGATGATAATGATGATGATTTTTATGGTAATTATTATCGTAATATTTTTTATGTTATTAAAGTTGCGGATGATTATTATGATAATTATTATTATAGTATTTTTTGTATTATTGAGGATGTTTAATGTTATATTTGATATATATATATATATAGAAAAAAGATAGAAAAATAGAAGGAAAACTGATGATGATGATGATGACAAGCATGATGACGATGATGAAGGCGATAATAATAATGATAATTATTATGAAGATAATAAGGATGATGATTTTTATAATAACTATTATTATAATATTATTGGTTTTATTAAAATTATGGATAATTGATATAATAATTATTATTATAGTATGTTTTATTTAATTAAGGATGCTTAATGTTATATTTTAAATCTATTTAGAAGAAAGATAGAAGAATATTATAATAACGATAATAAAGACGATAATTATAATAATGGATATTATGAAAATGATAAGGATGATGATTTTTATGATGGCTATTATCGTAGTATTTTTTGTATTATTAAAGTTATGGATGATTGTTATAATAATTATTTGTATAGTATTTTTTGTATTATTAAG